TTGTAATCCCCACGGGTTTCCCATCACCAAGTCACCCATGTGCCATCACCATAATCCCGTGCATTTCCCTCCCCCAACCTTTTTTTGATCCCATTCCCCAATCCACCCCCACAAAATGTCTCTGGTATATGGTGGTTCATTATTTTTGTTATTTTCCACCTGTAGACCCCCACTTCTTATATGCATGCATGTATGCATACATAGTCTTACTTATTAGAGGTATTTTCTGAATTGTGTGAAATAAGCTGTGAGGTTATTATACATGATGTGGGGATGGCACTGTTTTGATCATTGTTGAAAGTGGAATTACCAGGTAATTCAGTATAATCTGCCATAATCTTTGAAATTTACAAAATGTCAGCATTTTCTTCATAAGTTAATGTTTTCTTAAGGTATCATGTATTGGTAAATGTTTCAGAAATTTGTAATGCACATTCTGTAGTGATTATCTCTGTTCTTACAGTAATGATATAGTATTGTTATTTAAAATAATGGTTTTTTTTCCTATTTCTGTTTTTTAAGGTAATGAGCATGGTATCAGGATTTGCACCACTGATTTCTGCAGGTATTTTTTCAGCCACTCTTTCGTCTGCACTAGCATCCCTTGTGAGTGCCCCCAAAATATTTCAGGTAAGTATTTTGACATTAAAGACTTTAAAGTGAAAGTTAAGGTGATATTTTTCATTTGGGGACTGGTTTTATTTTCAAACTATGTTTATTTCTGTCTACCCACATAAAGGTAAATTATACGCATGCACATATTAACACTGGCATGTTTAACTGTATGTGAATATGTACATTTATATAACATTTGTGCTTTAACAGCGGTGAATGTGTAGTCTTTTGAGTTGTCTTGCTAGAGGTAGCGATGAATTTTGCATTTCTTATCACTCTATTGGCATACGTTTTCATGTCTTACCAAGGAAAAGAAGGCAATCCAAGATCATAAATGAGAATTAAAGAACCATCCTTATTAGTATGATGTCAACCATCCTGTTATTTGGATAGCCGATTTGTGGCATACATTGTGTTAGCTACTTAGTTTAGTGATGAGTAGTATAGACATTACCTTCATGAATAAACAAAAGCTAATAATAGGAAATAGTTAATATTTTCTATTACTAAATAAAAAATGAAATTTGATTGTTCTGACTTATTCTCAATGTCTTTGTTGTAGTAGTAAGTATATTAAAATTGTAGGATATATTTCTTGAAAACAACTGTTTTCAGTAATGTTTTATGAAAAGTGGTTTAGTTTTGTAACTAGGATTGTTACCTAATTTAAATCTTGAAGTTAAACTTGGTTTTCTTAAAGTGAGTCATACCTCTGTCATACTTCCTCAAACTTCCAAGTTTCTTTTATTCCTTCTTCATAAAAATTTTAACACTGGCATGGGGAAAATGGTACCAATCTCAGTGGTATTTGAAACCATCTACCTCTCTGATGCTTGAATGTCTGAATCTCCTTTATAGTTTGTAGGTAAATACTTAACGAGTAGCTAAATAAAGGGGAAAGACAGGACCACAAATTAAGATATGCATGTTCTATTCCCAGTTAACTTTTCAATTGTAATCTAATGTGTATGTTTTATTTCCTGTATATTTTATTTTAATGCTTACACTAGGCTCTATGTAAGGACAACATCTACCCAGCTTTCCAGATGTTTGCTAAAGGTTATGGGAAAAATAATGAACCTCTTCGTGGCTACATCTTAACATTCTTAATTGCACTTGGATTCATCTTAATTGGTTAGTTATACAAATGGTGCATTAGTGTAGATTTGGATGCATTTTTGGTGTTTTTCTTCATTTCAGTACTTTGATTTCTTTTACCATTGTATAGTGTTCACAGTACATGTTTTGTTATATCTACACCTATTTCACTGTTTTCAGACAATTAAAATCTGTACTAATTGAAATGAGCTTAGTTTTCTAACTAAGGGTATCTCTATAATTATTTTATATATAAACATCCTTTTAAGAAGGCATTGATCGATTATTTAATTAGATATTGCTCATATTATGCTGTGCTAAACCACCATATAGTAACATTCTTAGTGGATACTTGGAAGTTTGAACTCTTACAACATAAAATTTGTGAAGAGTATTAGCTTCAAACATTTGATTATTGTTATAAACAAAATTTTATTTTGCCTGTTAATTCTTTTTATTTAAGATATATATTTGTATATATGTATTAATATTCATGCATACCAGAACTTTGTATATATGTATTAATATTCATGCATACCAGAACTGGAATACAGGCCAGAGGTGGGGAGAGTGAGAGGATTCACCAGAGACAGAGTGGGGAGCAGAACAGGCAGCTAGATGAAGTACACTGCTGAAGGGAGCAGCAGGTGAGATAGGACAGGTCTGCTGCGCCAGGTAGGTAGCTCCCTGGCCAGGGATCAGACTCATGCTGTAGTAGCTGCTGATAGTTTGATAGTGTTGTGCTTTACTCCTTGTGCCATCAGGGAGGAGCCCTTGCCTATTACTTCTAATCAAATGAAAGTATTTAGTATATACAGCAAATAATAACATTCAATAAATATTTGCTAATATTACTGGCATCATAAAGTCCCCATTATTGCTAGTGGAGATTATTAGGCTTTATCCCCAAAATAGGGTAGTTGCATTAAAAAAAAGGAGTTTAGTGTCTCTATGAATATAAACCCTATTAAATAATAACCTACTTTTTGACAATTTTGTATCTCTGATCACAAGTAAGCAAATAGATGTGACAGCTAAAGAAGACACTGGACTTCTTTTAAAAGCCATCACACCATCAAGTATGAAAATTAATTCTCATGTAATTCTACTTGGTATATATTTGATATATTTACTGTGGAAAGTATATAACAGTTTGACAGTATATAAAAGTTTGCCATCATCAAACAATTTACATTTTAAAAATGAATAAACTTGATTTTCTTATAATATGGATCCACACCAATACTAAATAATGTGTTTTATATGTGTAGTAAAATCATAGATCAATAGGAAAAAAATGTGCCAATTTAGGAAGAATAAGGAATAAAGTGGATTTCAACTGTTAATAAATTTGACTTCTGAAAAGTATAAAGGTCATGTGGCAAAATATAAAGTGATTATTAAATTTGCATGCCGGATATAGGAGCATTCATTAAGCTATTGTCTAAAAACTTGAAATAATGTCATAATTTAAAATTTTAAGCATGTCAAGTATGTCAGTAACTAAATACCTTGTTTCTTTTGCAGCTGAACTGAATGTTATTGCTCCAATTATCTCTAACTTCTTCCTTGCATCATATGCTTTGATCAATTTTTCAGTGTTCCATGCATCACTTGCAAAATCTCCAGGTGATTTTCCATTTTTAAATTTTATGAATGTGTTTCTATGGTTTTGGAGAAAATAACACTTTCACACATTGTAAAAGATGGTATGTGTGGAAGTAGGTCATTAATGCTCAGTGTTCCTTTAAAGTAAAACCAATTAAGTGAATCTTTAAATATTTTTTTATTCTGAAGTTTATTCTTTTTCTTCTCAATATAGCACTAATCTTAAATTCTGACTCACACTTGGAAAGAATTATTTTGCTCTTTTTTCTGTTTTTACTGAACTGATTTCTATGTCAATTCTAAAGATAATATTATGACTCAGGTACCTGTCAAGAAATATTTTTACCACAATGAAATTCTATTGAGTTCCAATGTAAGGAGTAATCTGTCAACCGAAAAAGATACCCCCTGTACTTGTAATATATAGGCTTTTTAATTTTATAAGCCATGACAACAGTTAAAATATTAGGGAAGGAAATGAGTGAACAAAAACACTGTCTTTTAAGGATCTAAAATTTACTCAGTAGAGGAAAGATTATAAAATATGAGAACTTCAGATACGAACATCTCAGCTTCAAATTTTATTTTGGAAATAAATTGTGTATGGCTATAAAAGGGCAACAGAAACATTGTGTTGGAACCCTTTGACTGGCTGCAGTATCAGATACGATACTGCAGTTTTGTAAGATATTGCTGTTGGGTGTAAAGGATACCTGGAATCTTTGTTTTATTTTTTAAAACTGTGGATAAGCAATTATCTCAAAATTAAGTTTAATTTAAAGGACTATAATTTATGCTGAAAAATAGTAATTACGTTGGAACTATGAATGAATATTTAAAATTTTGTCAACATTATTAGTATTAAACATATATTTAACAAAATGGAGAATACCTCTCTATGGCAACTGCTAATTTTCTAACCAGGTAGATGAATTTTTTAATGGTTTACAAGGATATTGTTTAGACTGTTTGGTGTTTTCATGGAATATGGCTATGTGTCAAAAGTAAAACATACTATTGAGGATGCAAGAACTGGGGTACAGGCCGGTGGGATGGGGTGGGGGGAAGATAGTGATGAGAGGATTCACCAGAGACAGAGTGGGCAGCAGAAAAGGCAGATAAACTGAAATAACACTGCCAAGAGGAGCAGCAGGCGGGTCAGAAGAGGTCTGCCACACCGTGTGGGTCACCTCCCTTGCTGGAAATTGACCTCAAAATTTGGAGCACTGCATAATGCCATTTCCACCAAGGAGGGCCCAGAACATTTCTTTTAGAACATATTCTCAAGCTTCTAGTGCTGATTGACACTTTTTTTTTTTTGGCCAAGAGCTTATTGAATACAGAACTATTAATAGTAAGATAGAAGAATGTGAATGTGAGAGTAAACAGCTGTGCCTTCTCTGTGGTCAAAAGAATCAGGAAATTTAAGTTGTGATCTGTAACAGCCTATACTGTTATATATTAGCTTTATACTTAATGTTGAAAGCTTTCTCAGTAGAGCAAACAGTTGTTTTTTGCATGCATATACTATTGTTTTAAGCAGTGAGATGTCTTAGTGAATTTTATTTACTCGTGTATTATTGCAGGATGGCGCCCTGCATTCAAATACTACAACATGTGGATCTCTCTTATCGGAGCAATACTTTGTTGCATAGTGATGTTTGTCATTAACTGGTGGGCTGCATTGCTAACATATGTAATAGTCCTTGGACTGTATATATATGTAACCTATAAAAAACCAGGTCAGTAACCTTTTCTATTTCATATTTCAAACTCAAACATCTTAGAAATTCGTTATTTCTCATACCTAAGCATCAATTGTATTTGTGAAAACACTTTATTTTGAAACACATGTAGTTTCAGTAAAACCATTACTGGGACCTTTTATTTTGTGGAATTCCATTATTACCCATACATTAAATTGAACTAATGTAATCTAATTCTGTGGCACTCAGCTTGCTTTAAATTATTCTTGGAAAGGATTAGATTTGTGGCTCTATTGTAGCTGTGAGCTATAACAAAATTCTAGAAAGATGCAGTGTCCACTAGCTTATTTTCCAGGGACAATTGAACAAACATATTTTAACTGAAAAATGTTAAAGATTAGCTAGAATTTGTTATATTGATAACATATACATACATACACACACACACACTCACACACACATATCCACATAAGATGATGATTCCTATTTTGGTATTGTGGTTGGTCCAGAATATTAAAGTAATACAGAAGAAAGATCCATTGAGGGAAGTTTTTAAAATTTTGGCCCAATAGAATGAATGATGAAAAATTATGGGAGTAATTGAAACATGCTCATCTTAAATGGTGAAAAAGCATTTTATAATCCTGACTTAAGAAAATGAGATTTTGGTGCTTTAGAAATTAAATGAACAACAAAAAATATTGTTTTATGAACAATTATGTCTGATACACCTATTAAGCCTTTAAATATCACTAAACATGTAAGCTCATAAATTGGTATCCAGGCTTTTTAATCAGCAAAGAATAAAATTTGCTATTTTAAATAAACTGTTAACTACTATAGGGCATTTTGGCTATCAGAGATCTGCCTTTTTCCATTTAGACCTGTGGCCATATAAATATTTTCAAATTGCTTTCTATACTTTTTTGAGTTGGATACAGTATGTCTGCATCCCTGTTACCTCCAGTCTTCCCTAACTCTTACTTTTGACTAAATGCAATTGTAGTTCAGATTCGCCATGTTTAATGTTATGTTATGAACATTGGCGTTCCAAGTTGAATAGTGTATTTCACTTTTTAGATATGGAAACATTTATGTCTCATTAGATTTTAATTGGTTGTTAATATTAACATTATGCTGCATAAACATCTGTCTTCTTCACATTTGTCTTCTAACAGATGTGAACTGGGGATCTTCAACACAAGCCCTGACTTACCTGAGTGCATTACAGCACTCAATCCGTCTCTCTGGAGTGGAAGACCATGTGAAAAACTTTAGGTAAGAGAAATGTTTTGTATTCAGTCCAATTTGTTCTTTACTTGTTGCTCAGTAACATTTTCATATGCTAGCATTGCATGTAAAATTCTCTGAAAGCATAAAGTACTATGTTGTTTTCATGTCTGAACTTGTGCAATTTATTCAAAAGCAAGATTGTAGTTTCTTAGTAATTGAAATTACACAAACCTTATAAAATGTCATGGAAATTTTAGGAGTCCTGTATTTTAAAGTTTTCATGTTGGTTTTTTCTTTCTGATTATTGACTTACTGTAAACTAGTATCAGTGACGAAGAGTCACCCCTTTAAAGAATATTTATTATTGTTTCCTTAATAGATGATCACATTTTATCTTGTAAGAGTTTATCAATCATCAATTTTAAAACTTATTTCCTAAAATATTTCTAAATAATTGATGATATTGTTACTAAATCCAGAAATATTCATTTTTTTTTTAAAAAGATTTATTTATTGCATATAGATCTGAGGTACAAGCCAGAGGTGCAGGGGCAGTGAGAGGATTCACCAGAGACAGAGTGGGGAACAGAACAGACAGGTCAAAAATGTACACTGCTGAGAGGTCTGCTTCACCATGTGGGTCACCTCCAGGGCTGAGAATGGACCTCGCACTGAAGCACTGCGAGCTGGGCTTAAACCCATTGACCCACCAGGGAGAGCCCAGAAATATTATTTACCTAATGTAGATTATTAGAAATTATAGATTGTTATTTATACTTAAGATAGGCTTGTCATTTTTTAAAAGTAGGACAGTAGACAATCATTCTCATATTGTTGATTAAACCTGACAATCAACTGGTAACTGCCTTTTTGTCGTCATAAGTAATCACCTCTCACTGACATGTACATAATACAAATAGATTTATCAGTAAATTGAAAGGGAAAGGTTTTTTAAAGAAACTCTGAAGTAATCTCCAAAAAATATCTTCTGTCACAAATTTCCTAATAAGAAAAGTCTTTATATGTTATTTTATTGCTCTTTTTTTGTCTCCCCTACCTCCTCCTATAGGGCAAAGTTCCCAGAAACCACAGGTTTTTAGATGTAAAAGTAGGTAGAAATTGGGAAGAGAAATAGGAATGAGAACCTTGGGAGAAAACCTGGATACAAAATACACAAACCATTCCTTTTTGTAGAAGTTGCATCACAGAACTAAGGATATAGTCACAGTAAATTTGCCATCAGTAAAAACCCATTGCACTGGCTTATTGGAGTATTAAGTATTATTCCAGTATGACTTTAAAGATTTTTATGACAACCACATAATATAAAGTGGGGAGAAACTTAGATTTTTCATGAAATGTAGTACCTGCCTACCCTTCATACTCATTTCTCTCACACAGGCAACCACTTAAATCCATAGCTCATTTATTTAGTATTTGTTTCGTATTTCTTCCTGCACTTTACAATTTTTATTTCAGACATTATCTGTTGATGTTTTTATGTACATGGGACCTTCTCACACATGACCCTTCCTCCAAGCACAATTTGTTATTAGCTTGATTAGATCATGTTTGGTATCTATTTTTGTGATCTTTTTTTAAAACATGAATCAGACACAAACCATATAGTAAATTATGATTTTTTTTCTTTTTTTATTGTTAGAGCTTTGATGCAGAACCAATAATTTTCTTCCATTTTCAGCCAATAGCTTTCCCTTCTCCCTTCTTTTAACTTTTTTATTTATCACAATCTGTCTTCACCAAATTTACTAAAAGCTTTTTTTTTTATTTTGTCCCCTTATACATTCTGTGAAGTGCCTTTGCCATCATTTGCTGCTACTTTATAGTGTTAGATTTAGCCTTGTCTGAAGTGTCTGTTATATCCTTGATCACAGGAGCACTATATTGGTGGATGGGGCTTGTAAATTTAAGCCCTTACTGTGGATTAAGAAAGCATTAAAGAGTTTCTTCTGACCTGATCTGATTTGCCAAGAAAGACTCTTTTAATCTTCCTATTTATATTCCTGAATTCTGATAGCCAAATGAAGGAACTGCTCAGAGATCTCAGATTTCAGCATGTAAATACTGTTTAAAGCTAGCTGCTCTCCTCTTACCTACTGGTATATCTCAACCAGAGATACCCTCAACAGCAAATTAGCCTTTCCCTAACAGATTTGGAGAGGGACAGAAGTAATTGCCCATCACAGTGATGGAATGATCTGACTTTCATTGCTTCTTAACAAAACTTTACACAAGTCCTTATTTTCCTTAACATATGGCCCTGCAATTAACAGAGGCACCTATCAACTCCAGGGCATTTTAGTGTTTTTGAATAAATTCAAATTCAGTGAAATACTTCATTATTCTTTTAGGATTTGTGAAATCATTTTTTCTTTATTTCCTTTCTAGTTTGCAATATTTCAGTGCTATTCTCTCCTGTTCTTGCTATGTTTGTTTCTGTGTCTATAAATACCCCTGTTAACATTATGGAGATTTTTGAAAAAGTTAAGAGTGAAAGCAAATGTTTGTTATTTATCACTACTTAGTGAAAGTCAAATGTAATGTATTTTGTACTAAGTGTTGCTTGGTATGATAAAACTATACCAAGTAATGCCTTTGTGGTATATTTATTACGTGGTAAAGACAGGGACTACTAATTAACTTCTCATAGTAAATGAGCAAGTTAGTGTATAGGTTAAGACTACCATATATAATAAAAAGGCTGAAAAAATAGATACCCATGTTACATGATTATTGTCTAGAGGTAGCTGAATGGTTTATAGATGCAAATTTGCTGCATTTGGTCATTAGGGATGTCATTTTGTATTTTACCATTCTGCCATTCCTTTATGTATCTGTCAGTGTTATCACCACCTCTACCGAACAGTCATGATTTTTTTAAGTTAGCAGTTAGTTAATGTTAGTGTCTGACATTTGGTAGGATGCTTATTTATCCCTACAAGGTTTTGTTTCTGCATTTTTTTCAGCTGAAAGCACTTGAATTTTTAATTAAATATAACTATAAATATGAAAAATTTGTTCACATCAGGAACAAACTGTTGATGCCTCATTGAATAATATACATAAATATATATACTTACGTATTAAGAATAAAGTATATTTGGTCAATATTTAATTAGTATACCTCAATAAGGTATATTTAGTCAGTATACCTCAAGGTATATTTAGTCAATATTTATATGCATAAATATATAAAAAACGAATATATATATATGTAAATATAAATAAAAATATATACACACACAAAGTACTTTGATAAAACTATGAAGTGATGTGTGAGGCACAAAATAAACACCCAACAGACTGGATGGTATAAATATTTAAAAATCTTTATTATTTTAAAATGTAATTGACTACAGAGTCGTGAATATTTCTTAAAACAAAAAATTAGTGATTGGCATTCAAAACATTATAAAAGTAGGGGATGGGAGGGGCTGATTTAAAACCAAATCTCACTGCTATAAGAATAAAATCCCAGAATGTAATGGGGAGGCCAGAAATAGATTCAAGTACGTGCATGTTTTCTAGTGTATGCTAACTATAGCTTAAAATCAGTGGTGAGGCCCTCCCTGGTGGTGCAGCGGGTTAAAGCACTGCACTAAGAAGCTTAGCCACTTCCCACGAGTTCGATCCCCGCCTGCACCAGAGGTTAACCACATGGCATGGCAGACCTCTCCTGACCCGCCCGCTGCTCCCCTCAGCAGTGTACTTCGTGGATCTGCCTGTTCTACTCCCCACTCTGTCCCTGGTGAATCCTCTCACCCTCCGCATCTTTGGCCTGAACCCCAGTTCTGTATGAATAAATAAATAAATCTTTAAAAAAAATCTTTGAAAAGATGGATCATATAGTATGGTGCTAGAAAGAATAGATACAATTGGACAGAGTTATAGCCCTTCCTCATACAGTAACTTACCCAAATAAATTTCAGATAGAGTAAGAGAATGATGACTAAAAATATTTTAAAGAGCTAAATATTTCTGCATTCCTTATGTACCAAGTTTAACTACCTGGTTAATCATCACTTTCTTAAGTGTAAATCCTTTGTTCTGTGTCATGACATTTGCATAAAGACGAATCTAATGTATTTATTCTTAGAGAAACAACTTACAATCATGTCCTTATTAACCAAAAGCCTAAACTGTTCTTTTTAATCATAATGTAGGCCCCAGTGTCTTGTTATGACTGGCGCTCCAAATTCACGCCCAGCTTTACTTCATCTTGTTCATGATTTCACAAAAAATGTTGGTTTGATGATCTGTGGCCATATACATATGGTAAGTATTAGTTTTGTTTCTATATTAAAATAGTTTCCTTGTGCATGTCGTCTATAATTTGTGGATTTTTAAGATCGAAATAATTTGTTAATGTACATAAATCTATCTTGTACTTTTCTTAGGTAGTTACTTTGATACTTTTGCCTTTAAACTGTCTTGACCCTTAATTTTAAAAAGATTTTGAAATATTGACTTATTTTCTTAATTTTAGAGGAGTTGCCATTAGAGGAGTCTTTTGACTAAGAAAAATATACCCAAGTCGCTAAATGAAATTCAGTATTTCCTTATTCTTACTGTTACTTCTATAAAGTCCTGAGAAAACTGGGTATGTTTATTTAGAGGAGAAAAAATAGAAGGTGGAGGTGGTAGATAGTTTATGGTAAATAAGTAGTATGTTCTATGTTAAGATCAATGTTGAATGCTAAATTTCCAAGTTCAAACACCTTTAAATGTCTACTTGTTTTAATCATAAGTCATAAATTATGCAATAAACTTACATTTAAAAGTAGTTTTCTGGTTTTAGCACCTTTGCTATTAAAAATAGTCAACAGATGATGGACACCTGTTCTGCATAAAAGAAAATTGGAGTCTTTGTCAGTTTAGCTTTTTTGTGAAACTGTATCACCTTGTTTTAGTGGTAGAAATGTGTCGTTTATGCCCCATCCCAGCTGCTAGAGTTGTTCTTCTAGCTATAAGGAACAGCATTAAAGCTGTGCATGGGCACCTTTTTAGGAGACTCATGACTGGCCCTAGACGGGACTTGGAATGTTTTCCTTTTTGTCTCTAGGTTGATCAAGTTAAGTTAGAGTATTCAGCACAAGAACTGACGTGCAGAATTTCCCTCCTAAGAATATAAATTGTATTATTTCTTTACTTAATCATACTTTATTAGGGTATACCCAAATTTACCTTTAGACTATTTAATATTTATATCTTTGTATATATTTTACGTATTACAGGGATATAGGTAGAATTTCAAGTTGTACTTCTTACATTATTTTAACTTTAAACGAAAGTATAAAGATTAACACATTTTGACTTTCAGTATTTATGATTTGCTGAGAGTTAAGCATTTGGGACAAACAGACAAAACAAGTTTTAGGGCTTTCTGTAAAATAGAAAGCTCTTTTCTCTGTAGTTTCTTTTCATTTGGATAATTTCCAATTTCTATTATTTATTATCTGTTAGAGATATTTTCTTCTTCCTTCTATTGATTCTTCTTTAACTATTCCATCAACAAACCTATCTTTTTTATAATCTGTACTGGAAAGAATTCAGTGACCTGAGAATGAAATGTTGCATTATATTTTTTCTATCCACAATGTTTATGTACCTTTTTAAGACAGTATAATAGGTGACTTTTATAAATATGGATAGATTATCTTTTGATTAAAGTTGTTACTAATATTATTACTTCCAGGGCCCTCGAAGACAAGCCGTGAAAGAGATGTCCATTGATCAAGCCAAGTATCAACGATGGCTTATTAAAAATAAAATGAAGGGTTTTTATGCCCCAGTACATGCAGATGACTTGAGAGAAGGTGCACAGTATTTGATGCAGGTACATTTGTTAGCCTTTTCAAGATTATATTTATGTATGCCTAACTTATGGAACACCTAATAGGAGTAGGAGTATAAAGGCAGCATGAGAAGGGTAGTTGATCTTTGCTTGTAATGTTTATTTTCTTAAGTGATAGGTACATTATTACATGCTATATTTCTCTTTTGCTTTTCTGTATGGAATATTTAAATAGTTCAGGCAGAATGCTACCCCCAGTCTCGGGTATTTCGTGTGTGTGTGTGTGTGTGTGGAGGATATGAGATGTATGCCAGAGGTGCGAAGGCTGAGAGGATTTACCCAAGATAGAGTGGAGAACAGAACAGCCAGATTTACCGAAATGCACTGCTGAGGGGAGCAGTGGGCAAAACAAGTCAGTTGCGCCACATGTGGGTAGCTGGGGATGGACTTAGGTGGTGATAGTGCTGAAATTTAAGTCCTAGGCCACTAGGGAAGCCCCTCAGTGTTATTTCTAGTGGGAAACATATCAATAACCACTTTATTTAATAAATACTATGAAAGAGATAAAAAAAAATTTAAGCCAGTGATTATTAAACTTTAAGCATACCTGAGAATTAACCTAAATATTTGTTAGAATACAGACTGTTGGAACTTTGCAGTGATTGGTGGTTGGTAGTTTCCATGTGCTGTTGCTGTTGGTCTCTGGTTGAGTCCAGGCTCAACACTTTTCTAACTCCTGTTCTCAGAGCTTTCTGTAGTATAAATTATAGCACTGGTAAGAGTTAGGATCCATCCTCCTAATCACACTCCTTTATCTAATATGTTCACCCCAGGGGAACACTATAACTTGACTAGTTATAAGCCAAGGTTAGGACAGAAGGAAAGAGAGAACAGTGTCACTCCAAGACTGCCCTATAAATCTGGGAAATGCAACCACTTTACAAAAATGCATAGGAGTTTAATTCACTTTATTCTGATGTCCGAGCCAACTGATGATCTAATTAAAATGGTCTTAAAAATATGTGAATTGTTCCTGTAGAACTAATTGCTAAAGTTTTAGTTTTTGGACCTTCCTGGTGGCTTAAGGGTTAGGTCTCAGTGCTACCACTGCACCAGTCAGAGTTTGATCCCTGGCTAGGGAACTAATAACCCACATGGCACAGCAGACCTCTTCTGTTTTCCCTGCTGCTTCCCTTAGCGCAGTGTATTTCAGTAATTCTGCCCGTTTTTCTCCCCTGCTCCCCACTGTCTCTGGTGAATCCTCTCAACCCCCACCTCTGGCCTGTATCTCAGTTCTTCTACACAAAAATACAATCTTTTTAAAAAACTAATAAAACTGTAGTTTTCAATTGTCACCAAGAATATTTCTCTTCCTTTGTACCTTCTGTAAACTTGTTACAGTAAGTGCCAAATCCCTGTATTTCTTATAGTTTTATAATCTTTGCCAGAATTAAGTTTTTATACAATGTTTTGTTTCTACAGTGTCTTAATTTTATAGTATTTCAGAATGCTTCTGTAGATGGTTTTGTTTTACTTTACAACATACTATGAGGTCTCATTTCTCTGTTCCCTCATTTAGTTGCTAATTAAGATCATAAGCATTTATGCATCATTAAACTAGCACTTTAGCTAGCCTTCACAGTAAAACTCAGGATTCGGTTTGCTTTTTTTTTTTTTTTTTGAATATTTATTTATCCTGGCCCGGGTACAGGCCAGAAGTGCAGGAGCAATGAGAGGATTCACCAGAGGTAGAATGAGGAGCAGAACAGCCAGAACGATGAAATACCTATTGAGGGTACAGCAGGCGGGTCACCAGTGGTCTGTCATGCCACATGGGTCACCTCCGGGTCCAGATAATCAAACTCTGGTTGATCAATAACATTTGTAGTAGCTCTTTGGCAGTGAGATAGCACTATTGACTTCATTATTTTGTGTATATGAACTTCAGGACCATTCTTTTTTTTTTTTTTTTGAAGGCAGGAGCTACTTGATTATCAATGCAATTTTAAATTTTGATTTAAAATAGCAAAAACACATTGTCATTAATGAAAATTCACACTTAAGTATATGGCCCTTTAAATCAAGTGGACCTCATTTAGTATTTTTCTTGGTTAACAATAGCCTAGAGTATTCTTGTGTAAAAACTGTCGACTATTTCTGACACTTATCTTTATCAGTCACATTTTGAAGTAAAAGGTTTTTTTGAAAATGTTATGAAATACACGTAGATCAAAATAGCATTGTTAAGTAAGGCTATTTGAAATATAAATTATATCTGTCCTATAGTTTTGTCCTAAATATATAATTGTGTCATGAGATATTAACTAATTAGAATTTAAGGGCAATCAGTAAAAACCGTACATATCAAGGGCCCTTCCTGATGGTGCAATGGGTTAGGACGTAGCACAGCAAGCAAGCAGCTGCTTTAGTGTGAATTTGATCGCAAGCCTGCAGGTGATCCACGTAGCTTGGCAGACTCTCCTGACCCGCTTGTTCTGCTCCCCTTCTGTCTCTGGTGAATACTCTGTCTCTGCACCTCTGGTTTGCACCCCAGTTCTGTATTCAAAAATAAATAAGTAAACTAATCATACCAAAACTAACCTTCTAGAAGTTGGTTCAGATAGTTTTTTTTTCCCCTATGATTTTTTTAAAGTAAAATTTCATGGCAGTACTTAACTAATTTAAATAGATAAATAAAGAAAAAAAATAACAGCAGGAATGTTAAAACTAGAGATGTATGTAATAAATGTCAGATGACTACATTTTGTTAAATCCATTTCAGTTAGGAAATCTTGAAGAATTGATTGTTAATGACTAATAGAATTGATTGTTAATGACTAATAGATATATTTTTTATGAACCAGAGAACACATTTTCAGAAATAAATTTCTTTAGTAATGCATGATTTTTTTACATGGATGACTCTGGAAGGGATCAAGCTTAGTGAAATAAACCAGAAAGAAAAATACCAGATGGTTTCATTCATAGCACGAGTATAAAGGACCAGGAGGGGAAAAATAATAATGAACAACTATATACCAGAGAAATTTTACAGGGGTGTAGTGGGGAATGGAGTCAGAAATGGGGGAGAAGGGCAATGCTCTGGACTATGGTGGTGGCACACAGGTGATTAGGTGATGGGAAGGAAGCCCATGGGAATTACAACTGAGATGGAAAAAGGCACAAAATAATGTAAAAATTATTATATTATTTTAAAAAATCCATGATAGAATTTAGGAAGGATTTTGATGAGTGATATTTGTAAAAAAATATAAAACAACTTTTTTTCCAATAGAGGTATTATACTGGTATGAGTTTTGAGGTTTTTAAAGTTGATATATAATTGAGGTTGTACAACACAATGATCTAGTATTTGGATGTCTAATAAAACAATCATTAGCAGTCTAACGTTTTCTATAATATTACAGTTGGGATATGTTTATAAAACATATTGAATTAGATCTCTTGATCAAGGTGTAAGAAAAGCAGTAGATGGAAAATTTAAGGAAGGAAATTAGCTGGTAACTTCCACGGAGGCTTCTGTATGATTGGTAGAAATCACAATTGTTATTGAAAGCTGCTGCCAACAATGCATGCCTTCATGGGACTTTTGCTTCTAGATTTTTATGGGTGTTATCGAAACAGGTAACTTTAAACTACTGTATTATTATGCTTTCTATAAAAGAGTACATGCTATCATCTTCCCCTTATGAAAAATAAAGTTTTGCTAAATCATGAAAAGTACAAAAATACATTGAGAGCTTTTCAAAGTATTTAATTTCAACTTCTGTTTTTGATTAATTTTAAGTAACATATTGTTAATGCAACATATGCAATACATAACAATGCATGTTTTGGATACTCAAGAATTTTTGGTAAGGGTAAATTAAAAATGTCTAGAGGATATTTGGAGGATTGCCTTAAATTTAAAACATTTTGTTGAATAATGTATCCTCACAGTTGCATTTTCCCTACACTAATTAGGCAGCTGGTCTTGGGCGTATGAAACCAAACACACTTGTCCTTGGATTTAAGAAGGATTGGTTGGAAGCAGATATGAGAGATGTAGATATGTATATAAACTTATTTCAGTAAGTATCCTTTTAAATTCAATAACTTTTTTGGTTTAGAAAGTTCATTTTGGAAACCTGCATTGGGTTTTGTAGCCCATTACTACTCATAGAGCATCTTTTAGTAGAAGCAGTAAGAACGCAAAGACTCACAAGAGATTATCTGGATTTTAAATTGATGGTCTACTAACAAAAAAAGTGATCCTTTGATGTTTCCTTGCTCATGAAAGCATACACTTATGTATGTATCTGAATATATTACACTTTTTTATATACTGTGGCTTCCCACAAAGTTAGCAAGAGCTCAGCAGTTATTGATGAACGGAGTTCCCAAATGTCAGACTCATCACCTTCAAAGTTATTCATTATACTAGCTAATGCTGAGGAAGGACATTTCATCACATAAATCTAGATAAAATTTTATCTGATTATCCCTTAACTTACTAGAGTGAGTTATTAGAACGCCTATTATGTCTGTGGATATAACCACATAGTTATTTTATTATATCACAAAGGTACTTATGTTTTCTTAGTTATCTTGAAACATTTTTGCAAAAGTAATTAGAACTTAAAATCATTCTTCTATTAATTAACAAAATATGTAATAAGTAAGATTTCCCAAGTAATTGTTAAACATTTTAAATAAAATTAATATTCATATTTTATATATTGTGACTTTGGCTACCTTTATACTTCATTCCACGTTTCTAATTCTATGCTATTACTTTTATAGATAGGGCTTAAGGGGAAAAGTATGAAAGAAAGATTAAATCATTTGGGCTGTTATCTGGGACTATACTTTCTCTCTGGAGATGTTAAGATAAGTGAGATGGTCTCATTATCCAACAAAATAGAAAAAGTGGCTTTTCTGCACATATTTCTTTCATTATTATAGTTCTGGCTTTTTCACCTTAAAGAAGTGAAGTGAGTAAAGCAGAACTCTAAATAGTCTGCTTCAACTAGTAATTAGAAGATAGTTAAGATATTGCTTCTCTGGTTTCTAGAGCCATAGAAATTTATGTCAATTTTACACTTGATCTTAGCTAAAAGGCTGAGGAGCAATTTATGGCAATTTTAAAGCAGCTATCCTGTTACCTTATGACACTTAGGTTTTGGTCGTGACTCTAAATACACTGATGCAATTGACATGTCATTATTAACACTGCAGGAGGTCTGAATGTACAAATTAATCTCTGTAGTTTACTGAAAACTGTATTAGCCTGCAGCTAAAGCATTTTAATCTGAAGTAATCTCAGAGTTATCCTCTGGCTTTAAAGAAACTGATTAAATATCTATTGATTTATTAACAAATTAAAGGTCTATTAGGTCTTTTAAGCTATGGTTTAACATATCTGTTAATTTCTACAGTGAATTAACTTACCTTAAAAATTGGCTTCCTATGGCTTAAAAGTACAACAAAAGACCTTGTTCAATGACATTATACCCTGAATGTATTATTTTATCATTTTATTAGATTTCAGTCTTTTTGTTAACACAGTCATAGAATAATAAACCACATAATATGTATGATGGGAATGTTTATTCCGATAGAATTTAAGGTAAGAATTAGAATAAAATCAGCCATTTCACACTTTGAAGAATAATCTTAAATTTTGGAATTTGAAATTTGTGAGTAGATTTGAGAATTTGGGGCTACCTGGTTTATGACCTTGAAAATTTCCTAGCCTTTAAGTCTTATTTTAAAGTAGTCTCTGAGGTTTTAATATATTTTACATATATGTAGGATGGCCCCATTTACATTTTTTAAAAAGCACATATGAACACATATGTGCAAATGTATATAAAATTTTTGGAGTTTCTTTAAAGTCAGTTTTGCAAAAATTAAATTACTGAAAATACCCTAAACCCTTCTTTCAGAAATGATCCCGTCATAATCTACACTGTCTGAGTAGAATGTTTCTCTGTATTAATGTATTTCCCTTGGCTTTCAGGGAGTAAGCCTAAAATTAAAGAATATGGGACTACTGAAAGTTGCTTCTCTATAATTTTAGTTTGTTTCTAAAAAGGTAAAAATGTGCTTTGAATGGCTGCTGTATGTAGAATATCAATACTATGGAGTGCTATATTTTAAGTTTTTGTTTTAATATTTTTATTGAGAGTTGGCTTTGTAACAGTTTATTATGTGTATAGGTTAACACCTCTACAGATGTGTTTTTCATAACATACCCATCACCAAAGAAGCAAAAACACTTAGTTTTTATATAAATAAAAAGGGGCAGCAACTAGCATAGGATTTGGTACCACATATGTATCTTACTGTAGTATTTAAAAGCGTATTTTTTTTTAAATCACACTTAAAGCTGAAAGAATTTGAGAGCCCATTTACTACTGAATGCATTATATTGAGGACACAAAACATTTTATGACTTTTTTTTTTTCCATTATAGTGATGCCTTTGACATACAATATGGAGTTGTGGTCATTCGCTTAAAAGAGGGTCTAGATATATCTCATCTTCAAGGGCAAGGTAAATCTTGTTTGAAATAAATGTTATGTTCTAAAAATCTAAACTAATTTGCTAGAAAATTATATATAATTCTCAGTTTTTTCAGTAATTGTATTACATTCTTTAAAGAATGGCATTTTAAGATCAGATCTATTTGACTCCACCAGAATTTGTTTTTTTCTTTATACCAGTTTGGATGATAGCTCATGATTATTAACAGGGAGAATAAAATTCAGTCTGAATCACAATTTTAAGAAAAACAATTTTAAGATTTAGATTTGCCAGTTTTGTACTAAGCATACATAATTATAAAATAATTGGGGAATTTAAAAAAAGATTTATTTATGCTATGAACTGGGGTATAGGCGAGAGGTGTAGGGTCAGTGAGAGGATTCACAAGAGACAGTGGGAAGCAGAACAGGCAGAATGAAGAAGTACACTGCTGAGGGGAGCAGCAGGCGGGTGAGGAGAGGTCTGCGTGCCATGTGGATCACTTCTGGGGCATGCGGGGATTGAACTCATGTAGAAGTGGCTAAAGCTTCTTAATGCTATGCCACCAGGAAGGGCCCTCAAGGAAATATTTTTAATGATTACTAAGCATTAGATATTTTCTTTCTGAAAACATTCTGTGATAGCATCTTGCAGATCTGCAATTCTAAGGTAAAAGGACACTGGAACAGTCTACACACTTTGAATAGATTGCACCAGTTTTATATACACTGTGTATAGTTGATCATATTCTTGTAGCTTGTCACCATTTATTATATATGTTGATTCATGTAACTACTGTTAAAATTAAGATAGAGAACTTTTCCACACCACCAAATCTTCCTTAGGCTATTGTTGGGAAGTTCTACATACCTTTCCCTTACTCACTGTTGTTAATCCCCAGTATCTATCATGTCTTCTCCAACTTTATAATTTTTAAAGAACTGTTTAAAAAGTGAAGCTTAAAACCTAATTAAGGAATACCTAGAGTTTTTGCCAAATTTACAAAATGATAGAAAATTCCTATAACAATAAACTAAACAAACTAAACAAAACAAACTAAACAAAATTTGCATACAGCACTTGACCTTTGTCAGCTAGCCAAATCCTTAAAATTAGCTAGATTGGAATACCTGAAAGGGGACTATAATAAACTTCCAATGTCTGTTTATGGATTTAGATTGTTTTACCCCACTCCCCACCCCTCCCATACACCTTACATTTTAAGGGTGCTGTGCAGGTTTGGGAGAATGCTTTCAGGTTTAATATCCATGCGACACAGAAGTACTCTGTGAATATGCCTTGCAAATAACTCAGTTCTCTCTTGCTCTCCTGTAACTAATGTTTAGAGTCTACTTGTTAATTTTGTATAGTTACTGGTAGTGTGACCTTTTTTGATGTTCAAAAATATTATAGTTTGGTTAATTATAGTTCTTAATATAATTTACAAAATCTGGATGTGATTGGAAGTTTAATATCTTTATAATCAGTCTGAACAGTTTTTTGAAAATGCTATGCTATATTCGCCATTAAGATTTAGAAACCGGGGTGGGGGGGCCCTCCCTGGTGGCGCAGCAGGTTAAAGCATAGCACTAAGAAGCTAAAGCCACTTCAGCATGACTTTGACAACATCCCCCACCCCACCCCACCATGGAGGTGAACCCACCATGGTGTGGCAGACCTCTCCTGACCCGCTGCTCTCCTCAGCAGTGTACTTAATCAGTCTGCCTGTTCTGCTCCCCACAATTGTCTCTGGTGAAGCCTCTCACCGCCCCTGCACCTCTGACCTGTACCTCAGTTCTATATGAATGAATGAATAAGTCTTTAAAAAAAAATTGAGACAAATTTGGGTTAGCACAGGAATTGAGAGCATAGACTTTGGAGTCTGACAGATTAGGTTTAAAAATCCAGCATTCTTGTAATAATTTTGCAACCTGGGCAAATTAGCTGACTTCCAGGCCTCAGTTTCTTCATCTATTAAAACACATACTGTGTGAGGTTGTTGCAAAGATGTGACTTGTCAGGCTGTCAGCATTATTGCTGGTCCATATGCTCACATAATTTGTTATTTTTCTTAATACACACATCAGTGGTGATGGTTATGAGTAGATGATCTGTTTCATATTGCATTAGTCTTTACGATAAATGGATTATTTTTGGCGGTGGTGGAAGGTAAATGTTTACTAGCTCCTTCCCAAAAGATAAAAAATGATAAAAGTCCTTTATCAGTGAGTTTAAGACTTTCTGTAGTTTTGGCTTTATAGTCCTAGACATAGTTTTTCAGTGTTGTCATGTTATATAATTACATTTTATAATTCTTAGATGTGTACATGACTGAGAATAGAGATGATTCACATTTTATATTTATCAGTCTGATTTCAAACGTTCTGACACTTGGTTGTGGCTCATGCTTATAAGCAAAAGTTATCTCAAATCAGACTATTTCACTTATTTACCTAAGAAATCATTTATATGCCATATTTTCTTTAATGGTTTAAGATTTAGATAATATTTTGAATTCTCATATCTGCAGAAGAATTACTGTCATCACAAGAGAAATCTCCTGGTGTCAAGGATGTGGTACTTAGTATGGAGTATAGTAAAAAATCAGATTCAGATACTTCAAAACCATCTGGTGAGAAATCCATTACACATAAAGGTAATTGATATTCAAACAAATTATTAATGGTAATGCTTTAATTTAGGAAGAGATTGCAGTTCATAAGTTTTTATTATAACATGTCATAACTTGTTCCATTCAACATGTACTGCATTTTCTAGTTGCTTAGGTAAAATTTATGGTTTTGAAAAATTACTAATTACAAGCTACTTTTGAAGTAGATTATAGTACAGAAATAATGCTAATAAATTATATATTAATAGCTTGTAAATGTTTGTGCTTGCTTTAAATAAATTACTTTAATTTGAAGCATATGTAAAACCTGAACTGGTAAAGAATCATGGTAATTTAGAATATGCATAGAGCAATATGGTAACATATAAAGAATGAAATTTATAATTCAACATACTTAAGTAAGAGGGGCTGAAATGTTCAGAGTACTTTTTACATCTGTATCTGGAGTTGTTTAGGTAAAACATTATAATAAAGTAAAATGCAACTTTACTCCAAAATTTAGTTTCTCTGAAGAAACAAGCTCCTTTGATTGGGTTGCTGAACTATTTCATCATAATTAGACATGATACCACCATGGCTCATTTATTTATTTAAAGCAAGCATAAACAAATTTAAGCCACAAAAGTATCTGTCAGGTTTATTGAGAACTAAAAGCAGAATGACTTCCAAATCTTACTCTCCCACCCTCACTCTCCTACCTCTGTCTGGCCTGGTATCTCCACATGCCCTATTGCTAGCCTATCATACAAGAAAAAATCTGCATTGTAAATCATCAAACCATATCATATGTCGATTCCTGAAAAATTACCAGTCTTTCTGAAATTAATACCTTAGATAAGTTCTATTTTTGTGAAATTAATCTAGATTCTTTGGAGACAGTCATGCTGTTTTTTATTTCTTTCCTCCTTACCCTTATTTGCTTAGAGTAGTAGTTGAGAGTTTAATTGAAGACCCATTTTTCCTTTTGGTTTCTTTCTGCCTTGATTAAAAATTGTTTCACCTCAAAATGATTATGATAATTAAGTTTCTGAATTTACTTTTAATTTGTGGTATATATTCTTTTTTCATTTCCTTTTTTTTTTTTTTTTAATTCTTTTCTCTTGCCTAAACAGAGGTGAAGCTATGATGAGAAGGGGAAAAGTAATATTTTATGGAACATCTAGTTGTGCCTCCCACAATGTAAATCTTACCCATTAGCTGATAAATATGTGCACAGTCTTATTAGGAAGTCATTTTGGTAGAGTAGGGATCTGGGTTGATAATTCTAATCATATTATAAAAATGTAAATGTCCTTAACATAATATAAATCATATTAAGTGTCTGGATTTCCTTGATAATTGCTGAGCTCTTTTACAAATATAGCTATGGACATCTTATATTCTTTTAAAAGTTTTTATTATCAGAGGCAGGCATATGATGTTAACATTCAAAAGTGGCATCAACTTCATTTCGTGTTTTTCTATTTAAACAATTGCTTCAAACTTAGAAAACTTAGTTCACTTTTATGCTTCTCATAATAATAACACTCCTATGTAGTTATTGTAATTAGGCATTGGTGTGTCTATCTTGCTGTCTGGAACATTGAGATGTTCTGTGGGGACACAGAGCCCTAGGCCCTGATCCAAGTGCATTAATGCTTTCCCTGTAACAGCCTGAAGTAGGTATTGTTCACCCTTTTTACAAGTGATGATAGTAACAGGACAAGCTCATGTTGCGAAAAGAAGCGTCAGAGGTAATAACCAATGCTGGAGACTGCAGAGCCACTGCACTATGTTCTTTCTGAGTTGACAGGAGACAAATAATAGACTTTTATTTTGAAAAAAGGAGTTTAGGAACATAACCCCAAGGAAGTACCTAGTTAAATATAAACAAACAGATCACAGACCAGTATGTTCATATATACATGTATATACTTTTTAAAGGTAATTTTTCTACTCTATAAACTACTTCAACATCTTTCAACTATTTCAAGTGTGAATGTCTAAAACATCAGCTAAGTTTTTTTGGTCAGTTTCTAGGAATATAATTTAGAGGGGTGAGTGTTATTAATCAGTATCCCTATTGGAGTGGTCTAAAATATGTGTGCTTTTTAAAATACTGATCAGTAGTGTAGAAAATACCATTCTTCAGTCTTGATTACTTTCAGACTGGCTTCATACTTCGTTTTGTTAATAAATGTACTCTATTAACATTTTTATTAATATAAAGGCAATTAACTTAATATTTTGTGTTTTTTAAACATAATCTAGATGAGGAAGAGGATGGCAAGACTCCAACTCAACCACTGTTGAAAAAAGGCAGGCATTTTTCATCATTTTATTTTAATCCCTTCTTTCATACTGTTTAACTCTTTAATTCCAACTTATTTTGTTTTGTTTTTTTACCCTTAGTTTTTATTTCCATGGTGAGGTGATATTACAGTTATTTATTAAATGCAGATCTGAAAAATTATCATTAGTCCAAGTTAGTTAAATTGTCATAGGGAAAAGGTTATATATTAAAAACAAATTTTTTACTATTAAATCTTTATAGCATTTCTGAATAATGAAAACCTGAAAAGTTAATATTAATCTTTCCATTTAAACTGCATGGTTTCGATAAGGAGAGACACTGAAATATCTTTGCTAACAGTGTCACCTGCACTCTTTACCATCAGTTGTATCCAAGCAAATACTTAATTTTGATACTAATGTATTTCTCATTTCGAAAATTACAATATTTCTCACAGTCCTGCTGCGTTTGGGAGATACAGTCATGTCAACATACATGAATTTTATAAGAAGGAGATAGAGGTGAGAGTTACGGAGCAGTGTGGTTTGGTAGCCATATTATTCCATCATGCAAAATCATTCATCATGTTTGCGTATGTCACAGCAGCATGAAACGTGAATGACAGACATTTTAAAAACTGAGCAGATTTCCCTTCTGTGGATTTCTGCTTTTAAAAAATTGTGTGTAGGAGTTTCATGATAATCATTTGCTTGCTTACAGAGCCAATGCTGGTGTTTTGTTTTGTTTTATAAATTCCTGGGAATACAAATGGAAAGTCCTTTGGTATATTGTTCTTTATACCTGCCGCAAATAGATAGGAGTGACCTACATTTTTCTTTGGTGAAAAGTTAGGTAAAGGTGAGGCAGTTTTCCTTAAGCTTCCTTCAGTGTCATAATTATAAGATTTAATTGTTGTGTCTTTAATTTCCTTCTGTCTTTGACATTACAGGTAACGCATAATTAAAAAAAATTTTCTGAGCTTTAAATTACTGAGAAACCAGATTGCAGAAGAAATATATTCATGGAACAAGCATAAACTTAATTTTTCCAGCTAGCCAAAAACAGCTTTTCAGAAACAATAATCTCTAGCAGCCAGTATAAGTTTCCTGATTGATTTTATTGATTTCGTTCATTAAGAATGCTTCAGAATTTTAGAAGTGAGCCAAGATGATATAAGTAGTTTAACCATTTTAAAAGTATGTTTAAATTGTAAATAACAAAATATCATAATAGATGCCATATACAACTATCTTAAAAAGACTTGAATAGATAAAAGCTAGGAAGCTATAGGAATTCAGCAGAGGGGTTTTTAAGAACACTTACCTTGCTTATGCATCTCATTTTTCTTCTTCATCCTTTAGAATCCAAAGGTCCTGCTGTGCCTTTAAATGTAGCTGATCAAAAACTTCTTGAAGCTAGTACGCAGTTTAAGAAAAAACAAGGAAAGAATACCATTGATGTCTGGTGGCTTTTTGATGATGGAGGTAAGACTGTTATGTTGTGGGAATAATACTAGCAAAAGGCTTGTCCTCCACCTGTGTACCCATCCACTTTTGCCATTGTTCACAACAGCAGCTACAATATTAATTTTATAGATATAAGAACTGGGGTACAGACCAGAGGTACTGGGGATGGTGGTGAGAGGATTCACCAGAGATAGAGTGGGGAATAGAACAGGCAGATCGACTGAAATACATTGCTGAGGGGAGCAGTGGGTGGTTCCGGAGGATTCAGCTTCCTGAGGATTGAACTTATGTTGCAGCGGCTGCAGATAGATTCATAGTGCTGCACTTTAATCCATTGCCACAGCAGGGAGGGCCCAATAATGAACAGTTTCAATATTACTGTATTTTGGAGCATGTCAGTAAATTTCGAGTGCCATTTTTTATTGTCATAATTAGTCCATATTTTTCAGAAGAGGGCAGAAAGAAAAATTGTTTTATTTTGAATTGTAGTAATAATTTTTAAACTTTAAATTAGCACTTAATATTTGTCTTGTTATATTTTTATTATTCAGGTTTGACGTTACTGATACCTTATCTTCTGACTACCAAGAAAAAATGGAAAGACTGTAAGATCAGAGTTTTTATTGGTGGGAAAATAAACAGAATAGACCATGACAGGAGAGCGTAAGTTTATCTTAACTTGAAGGATATTTATCTAGTAGTGCTTTATTATCATAATGTCAGTTTGATAAGCTAAAAATTAGAAAAATCAATCTTTTTGCTCTTTTCTACACTAAAGCTGAAACTTCTAAAAATAGTAAACCTCATTCTTTTGTTTTCATGCTTAAGTTCTAAATTTAGCTTTATGTAGATGAGTACTATTTTATTAACAGTTTAGGAAACCTGTGTTTAAATGTTTATGTAGCTTTCTTAAATCAGGGGAAAAAGAATAAAAACTACCTATTGTTGGGCCACTGTCATCCACATTCTCCTTTCTGTGGCTGTCTAGATTCTAGTTTTGTATTCAGTGCTTCTGAGTACCTGTGTTGCTTATCTCTAATCTTTTTCATTATATACTGTACTTACAGCAGTATGAAAGGATAGTTATCAATCATTTGATTCCTTTGTGCAAAGTACTTTTAAGTGCTTGTTAGCTATAAAGAAAGTCTTAATTGCAAAAATAATGAAAGTCAAGAAAGACCTTTTAACAATTTTTCCTCCTGTTCCCTTTCTATTCTCCAAAGGATGCCTTATACCTCAGTTTACACTCTGCTCAGCCCTAAATGGGTGTAAGGTTTTAGACTTTCATTCTTTGCTTCTCTCATCGCTCTACTATAAATACTTATTCACTTGCAATCCTCTTCTGTTAAAAAAGAATTCCATTCTTTGAAGTTCAGTGTTGGTCTCACCTTTATAATGCCTTTTATAGCTCCTCCTTGTGTTATTTTCTTCATGAAACACACTGTACGGTATATATTCATCACATTCTGGGTTTTTTTCTACGCTTTTTTCTTTTCTTTTTGTATGGATCCTGTCAACACAGAACAGGCACGTTAGAATTATAGCAGCATTCAAACACGCATTCATTTTGTGATTTATGTAAGTGCTAGTAAGATTTTTAGTTTAAACCTCTATAGTTCATCAGTTTTCTAATGTTAACTTTAAAAAACTAGGTTTTACTCAGACTTCATTAGTAATATCTGGCTCTGTTCATAAAACTAAGAATAGATTCAAAGAACATAAAACTAAGAATAGATTCAAAGAACATAAGAAAATGTTACAGAGTCTCTACTAAGGGACTTCATTCAGATAGCTACCTTGTTCATATATAGTGTAAAGTAATTCTCATTTATCCAGCCCTATATAAAATAAAAACATTTAGAATCAATGTACCTTCATGTATCTTAATGCTATTCATTTTTGTTTTAGGATGGCAACTTTGCTTAGCAAGTTCCGAATAGACTTCTCCGATATCATGGTCCTAGGAGATATTAATACTAAACCAAAGAAAGAAAAGTAAGTTATTGGAAAAATTGCTTTGTAAAATTTCAGATTCTTTTATGGATCGGTTTTAGCACACCTAGAGCAAATATCACAGTAAGTCTAAAGTGCCTCAGAAAATTTCTACTTTATATTTGAATTTTATAATTTCTGAAAATCATTAATACCAGTTTCCCACATGATTCTTTAAACTTCCATTTTTCATGCCTACATTTATTATTACAGCACTCAACCCTTGTCCATGTGTGAATAAGTTGAGGACAGGAATAAACACAATTTGACCTACTGCTCAAAATTTTGACTACTTAGATAAAAATTTATTTATGTTTGGGGTGGATGGGTACACATAGCCAGGAGTAAATAGAGCTAGGTCATCATTAACATTAAAAATTTGTTTCTATTGTGAACATGGTTCTAAATTTAGGATGCAGGAGGGAGCATATTAGGTGGGAATAGGCACTTTTCAACCTGTAAGTTAACATTTAAGAATTTAGGGTAATCTAAGATGAAGCTAGTTACCTGTATTCTTTATTTGTCAAGTATTGTAGCTTTTGATGAAATGATTGAACCATACAGACTTCATGAAGATGATAAAGAACAAGATATTGCAGATAAAATGAAAGAAGATGAGCCGTGGCGAATAACAGATAATGAGCTTGAACTTTATAAGACCAAGGTATTTTTTTTCTTTCATTTATCTTCCATGTTTTTGCCTTTTTTAAAGCATTTAAGACAAATACATTTCTCACCAAAATTGATTGTTTTTTTTTTGTTTGTTTATTTTACAAGCTTTATGAATCACGCTAGGCTCCAATTTACAAATGGTTCAGGAATGACTTCACTCTGTTTCCTTTCAGACGTACCGGCAGATCAGGCTAAATGAATTATTAAAGGAACATTCAAGCACAGCTAATATTATTGTCATGTAAGTAATACTTGCACTAAGATTTTCCTGGTGATTTACTTTATGATAATGTACTTAATTTCTCGATATTATCCATATCTAGAGAGCACCCATAATGACTTAGTGGTTATAAGGAGAGAGTAAATTTTTCAAAATGAAATCATTTAAGGTCAGAACAAAGGAAGACAGAAATCTTACCCCTGAGGTTTTTTCATCTTGATCTTAACTTCCCACCTTTTACAAATTCCTTCACTTTGAAAATACTAGACCACAACTTTCAAGCATTTTTCTGTCCTAAATATGCTTCCTCTTGGAACTAACCCCATTAAGTTATTTGGAGGATTAAATAAGTGGTTTCTGTGTGAATCTCCATTCCCCAGGTTTCCATAAACATATATTGAACATATGAAGAGGTATGTAAATATTAATGCTCACTCTAACTTTTCTGGCATCAGGCCAGGTTAACTAGATTGTACTTGAACCCAAATTTTCTCAGTCCTGGAGTCTGATCCTTGAATAGATAAAGCTCACAGTTCCAAAAAAATGTCAGGTGATGAAATCAAGAAAGACCAAAGGGTAGCTAGTTCATTAACAACAAACATTTTTAATGCTGTAAGTGTTAGGTTTTGTGGCTCATTAGCCACAAAATATTTGAAAGCTAGAGAAAAACACTCCAGAGAGCAACTGGTTACTCCCTACCAGCATCTCCAAAAGGAAATAAAGGCTCAGCAAGATTAGAGAAAACAGAATTAAAATATGATTGAATTTCATGTATCCATATATAGATTTTCCTTTGTGACTACAGATACAAGCATTCCTTTCTTCTAAATGCTATATTTATTGAAGAGGAGTGTGGGACTTAATGTCAGATACAAAACATTAAAGTTTGTAAAAGTAGGAAGTGTATGATAGTACCGTAGCTATACTATATACAGAATTTACTGCACTAAAAAATAGCTAGCTATTACTGGCTCTCCCCGGTGGCACAGCGAGTTAAAGCACTGCACTGAGAAGCTAAAGCCACTTCTGCATGAGTTTGATTCCCGCCTGCCCCGGAGGTGACCACATGGCGTGGCAGACCTCTCCTGACCCGCCCGCCCGCTGCTCCCCTCAGCAATGTACTTCGTCGATCTGCCTGTTCTGTTCCCCACTGTCTCAGATGAAGCCTCTCACCAGCCCTGAGCCTATGGCCTATACCCCAGTTCTGTATGTACAAATAAATTAATCTTTAAAAAAAAATAGCTATTACTAAGTGATCTCTAGTATTACTGTTATTTAATTAGTAACTTTTATCTTTTACTTTCCTAACTTAAATCCACTTACTCAATTTCTTATTTTGATTTCAGGAGCCTCCCAGTTGCACGAAAAGGTGCTGTGTCTAGTGCTCTCTACATGGCATGGTTAGAAGCTCTATCTAAGGACCTACCCCCAATTCTTCTAGTCCGTGGGAATCATCAGAGTGTCCTTACCTTCTATTCTTAAATGGTCTACACAGTTGACAGCCCTCCAGACAGTACTTCAGTGCCTAGTGAAGTAACTGAAATATCTTCAATGGCATGTTAACATCACAATGGCAAACTGTGACTTTACTTTCACTATATCATTAATTTGAAAGCACACAGGGAAGTTGCTCCATTGATACATGTATGGAGACTTCAGTTTTAGTCAAATCCTTATCTCAGTCTCACTGAATGATGATTCTTTGTTGGACTGAAGCTCATGGAAGTAAAGTTTTTCTTTGCTACTTGAACAGCAATAAAAGTGTGTTATTTTCGATTGAAGAAAGGAGTACAAAAAGCCTTTAGCCTTGAGGTGCCTTCTGAAATTAACCAAATTTCATCCATATATCCTTTTATAAATTTATAGAATGTCAAACTTTGCCTTCAGCTATTTTTATTTCCAGTTTCTTCCATTTTTTGAAGAAAATGTACACTGCTGTTCTTCCATTGACCAATTAGCTTTGAGTACTGTATGTTTTCTATTACTTTTGTAAAGGTATCTGTTAGATTTAGGGCAGTTAAAAAAAAATGGGGAAAAAAGGCAATCAAAAGTGACTCCAAGGTTAGGTTTGTATGAGTATGTATAAATGCAGACCTTGGCGGGGGCGGGTTAAGGTGTAATAAGCCACTTTTTTTTTTTAAACTTCTGATTGGCTATTTATACTTTTATTTTTTTAAACCTTAAGGAAGGTTAAAGATTTATTCAGTACTTCTGTATACCATGCTGAAAAGTTACATAGTCATTCTTTGAAAAACAATTTGTCAAGATCATTTGTATTTGTATTTATTAGAAAAGAAGTCTTAGAGTTTTCCTTAAGTGTATGGAACTTTTATGAATTACTATAAGATTTTTCTGGAGGAAAATTAGACATAGCAATGTCATTTCATAGACAATTTCAATACACACTATTGGAATTTCACTATACATCTTTTATAAACCATTAAATGTTTAATGTTTCACCAAATGGTTAAATGGACCACTTGTTTTTTAGTAAAATGTTTTTAGGCCTAATTCATTCAATTGTCAATAGTCTTAATATACTCAGGTTTGAACAGATTATTCTGAACATTTAAATTTAACCCATTCTTAATACTTTAAACCTTTTGTGTTAAGAAAAACTGCCAGTTTGTGCTTTGGAAATGTCTGTTTTGACATCATAGTCTACTAGAACAATTTTGACAGTGCATATGTACTGTTACTAAAGCTTTATATACAATTATTAATGTGAAATTTTCTTTTTTTTTATTCAAGGAAGGATTTCCTGAAAACATTTCAAGGGATATATGTCTACATATATGTATGTGTAGTATATGCATACACAGATGCATATATGTATATATAAAGGCATTTATGTTGCTGGTTATTTGCATTTTATAGTGATCAGGATTCATTAGATTAAAATATTTTTGTTTTAGTAATAAGTTCAAAATTAGATTGAAAGGTACAAGTTTCATGGAGAACAAAAGTGAGCCAGTTTGAAAGGCATATAACTTCATGGTTATTCAGTTAGAAAATGGGGAGAACATTTCATCTAAAGTACTGTTCAGTGGGTTCATGGATATAAATTCAGTGGTAGAACTTTATGCAGGTTTCATCAATTGAAATCTATAGAATTTATGCAGTCTTTTTGCTGCATGAGTGAACTAAATTAATATAAAAATGGAGATCTAATTTTGAATTCAGAAGAAAAAAGTAATCATTTTTCAAAAACTTTTCCTACATTATAACTCACAGCATTGTTTCATTTATTGGAGGTTTTGTAGTGTTTGGGGGGAAAGACAGTAGAAAATGTCATATTATTCAGTGAACAATATCATGTTTGAACTTTTCTTTAATGGATAATAGGGCATGAACTGAGTGCTGCTATGTTGAAATGTGCACAGGTACACTTATTTTTTTTTTTTTTTTAAGATTTTCCCATTCAGGAAAACATTGTGATCTGTACTACAGGAACCAAATGTCATGCATCATACATGTGTGTATAAAGTACATAAAATATATCTAAATATGCATAATGGGGGGAGGGTAATATTGTCTGAAATAATGTAAGATGCTTTCTCTTTTTAAAAAATGCATTACTTTCACTTAACACTAGACACAGGTCAAAATTTTCAAGGTTTTAGTGCTCTAATAAATTTCAACAGTTAATTCTAGAAATGCTAGCTAGTGCTAAAGCTGTTATTTTTGCAAATTTGATTCTTAATGCCAAATTTTTGTTTTAGTTCTAGTCATTGTCGATAATTTAGAAATAATTATATAATGGCATTGACAGTTCACTATTCCTATAAAAGGTAAACAATTCATTGGGTTTAGAGAGAATGATGGTGTTAAGTTGATTAACAGTTAATTAAATCAAATATTTATTTGTTACATTATTTTAGGTTTCTTTTACGTTCTTTTTATATGCTTTGACATATTTTTAAAGCTATGGTAATAATTTAAAGATTTAAACTCTGGTAGATATCTGTCTACCAAGTTTGAAAATGTAGTATTTTGATAATACTGTACTGTAACTGTCATAAAAATGCTTTTCTAATGTTTTAACATTGAGTATTGCAGTTGCTGCTTTGTACAAAGGTTACTGCAATAAAAGAAGTGGATTCATTAAAACTAAAATTAACGTCTACTCTTTATTTCATCTTTGAATCTATGTCTGCTTGTGATTTCACTTCACTTTCTTTAGCTTAAAATTGAGGTCTTGGAAACCTGTTTGAATACTTTGGAGTAACAACTACTGATATCGACTTATTTTTTTAAGTGATTCAGTTTTTCTCATTCTGTTTTGTATTTGGGCCAAATCATGCATTTATGAGTGAAGAGACTACAAAATAATGAGTCATAGTCCCTGAATAGAATATGATTCTATTTTCCTTCAGCTACTTACAATTTAACAAGGGATTTTTCTCATTTTGAACACTGAGTAGGTGTGTTACATATGTAGGGCAGCTGAGAAAATAGGCTAGAAGGTGGTAAGGAGTTTCACAAGATTGTGTGGTAAATCAATGAAGGATGTTGGCCTAGAAACCAGGTCTTTCCTTTCCAAGGGTGGGAAAAACTGTCCATTTCCTAACTATGCAGGGAGTGTATGCTCAGATAATGCAAATTACAATTAGAAATTAATCTAAAGGAAAATATATCTGCATTTTGTTTATTCTCTAATAAGCTAATGAAGCCAGATTATACACTTAATTTTGAAAATGGAGAATTCAAAGATAACTTAAATTTGGCATTTCTTAATATTAGAACATCCAATGGTTTTCAAAACTGGAATGTTAAAAAAAAACAAAAGTGAAATATAATTCATCCTAAAGCCAGTGGACTTTTTTGTTCATTCAAGAAGGAATAAAAGATACATTTGACAGACCTCTTTTTTTATCATTATGTTAACATATCAACAGGATGTTTGTAAGGTTATAGGAAATAGGTAAATTGTAACTGAGTAAAGGGGGCAGAAGTCCCAGTGTACACGCATCAAAAAACACTGCTTAGTTCACCTAGTTCAGATAGTAGGTACACAGTTTTATTTGGTTAACCTATTTGATTTCTTTTTTAATTTTTTTCTTTACTAGAATATGAAGACTGGTCATAAAACTACTTTACATGCAACAAAGCTATTTGATAAAATGGTCAGACTTTAAGCTTCAGACTTTAAACTTACATCTCCTCCTCTTGAATTAACCATTAAATATGGTGTTGCACAAGGTAATATAACTATGTCTGAGGGAGAACATGAAGGTCTGATTTTGTTAACCTCCCGTTAGGTAACCTACTAAGTGGCTGTGATTCTCACAGATCAGGAATTCATTCCCCAAATTCACAGGCTTTTGTCAACACAGATCCTTCTACTCTTCTAAGATCTGTTTTGCTCATAGCTATGGATAGAAATAAGTAACTTTTTTGATTTGTATGTTAAGCTCCATGGTCTATAGCTATAAGATATCAAAGCAGAGGAAGTCCCTGAGTTTGTCCTTAAGCTAATTTTACTAGAATACTGCTGAAGCCTTTGGGGTGAGGAACTCGGGAGGTTTTGTCCTGGAAATTTTACTTATCAAATCCAGTGAAAATTGCTACTATGTAATTATGGAGATGTAGCCACAACTATTTTTTCCCCAATATATTTAAAATATATAAATGAAAAGCCTGACTTCATTCCTCACAATTCACTATATTTCAGAAGGAAATGTGACTGCATGACTTTTAAGCATCAAAAGGGAAATTTTATGGGTAATTTTATACCCAGCTCTCATTTCTAATAACAGATACGCCAAATAAGATTTTAAAATTAATCAAGCTGGGTCAAATTTTTGATTTGCAAAAAGTACACATAAAAAATACAAATGCTAATGTAATATATAAGAGCTATTTTATGTTCTAAATGAAATTAAAACCCTAACATTTTTTTTTAAGTAGTGACAATTTGAAAGAAGCAAGAATTTATCATAGGGACTAATAATAATAATTATTTTAATTTTAAACTTACAATTTTGCTTAAACCATAAAGTAAAAATTCTGTGATACCTAGTTAGTGTCATATTTAAAAGACAAGGACAATTTGAGAAATTGGAGACTGTCAAAATTAGCTATGGTACCTGGTCCTAATCTCATGTGTAACCTATATTTTTAGGTAAGTCTATGATTTTTCCATCAGTAAAGAGAATCTTTTGTTTACTTTCTATGCACCTGTCAATTTAACATTGCTGACAAACTATACACTAGACATCTCTTCCCCCAGAAAATTGGTAAGGAATATAGGTGTATTATGTACTGATAGAATAACTGGAACAGTTATTCCAGTTATGCTGGAATCACATGGAGGGTTTGTTAAACCACAACTCCTACCAGTTGTTTTCTATTACATTACCCCTTTCACATTCATTGCTTCTCACTAAAACCTTCCCTTCTTCATAGTTGTCTTTGTTCTTGATTCATCCTCTATTGAGTTTCTTCCATAGGGAGCACATTATTTCTATCTGCTCTCAAGCTGTGAATTTCATCACCTCCCTTCCAAATTCCTAGGTGTTTTCCATCTAGTTGTGAGGGCTTTATCAATGGCAGGGACAGGAGCCAAAGAAGGCTAAGGAAAATGTCCAGGAAGACAACTGAGTTCAGGGACTCAAATAGTGCAAGCAGAAACACCAATCATTGTGCTCAGAGCGCTGTTTCTTTTTTTTTTTTTTTATCTCTCTGGTTGCCTCTCTAGGCTTGACTTGATGCTTCAGGTAGACCACATAGAACGGTTACTGGCACCTGAAAAAAATCAAACTCAGGGCCCTCCCTGGTGGGGCAGCGGGTTAAAGACAAGCACTAAGAAGCTAAAGCCACTTCTGCATGAGTTGGATTCCAAGCCCCAGAGGTGATGGACATTTCGTGGCAGACCTCTTCTGACCCACCCGCTGCTCCCCTCAGCAGTGTACTTCGTCAGTCGGTCTGTTCTGCTCCCTGCTCTATCTGGAGAGTCCTCTCTGTACCTCTGGCCTGTACCCCAGTTCTGTATGCATAAGTAAATAAATCTTTAAAAAAATCAAACTCAATCCCAGTAGTTTAGCAACAACTGTAGTGAAAGGTGGTATATCCCAGTAAGCTCTGGCAAAAAAAGCCCAGGGGAGAGCCCTAAAGTTTCATCTTAGGAAAGCAAAGCCTCTGACTCAATCATGTCATATAAAGATAGTGAAGCTGACTGAAAAGATTTTTTGATCACTGTGGTCTGGCATTTCTAAACAACGTCGATAATGAAATACTCTTTGGGACTGGAGCAGAGGGAACCGCTTCCATACACCTGGGTTTACTCCACACACTGATTAATGCACGAAGAAGTGTTGAGAGTATAGGAATGTACAAGAAATTCCTGAACAACTCAGCTCCAACTGCTCTGCAGGTCTCTGTGACTCCACACCAAAAAGAGAAAACCCAAATAGAATCAAATCAAAAGATGTTGCAGCAGACAGCTCGTAAATAGAGGATGACTGTTCATGATTTTCTTAATTATGAAAATCTATCAGAAAGTAAACTGAATAACAGAAGATATGAACAAATTCTTTAAAATAGTCATATCTTTAAAAAAATTTACCTCTTCATATGTGACAATATGGATATGACGGATGAAGAGTTAGTTAAATGAAAAAGGAGGAGAAACACAAAACCACATGGTTTCCCTATTGTGTGGAGTATAGAGGAAACCAAGAGTCGACACCAAACCAAAAACACCCTAGAAATCAAACTGTAAATAAATCTCAAGCTACCAGAATAAGACAGGAGGATGAAGGAAAAATAGATAAGGGTACAGTGAACTATGGTGCCAAGACTATGGGCACCTTGGTACTTAGAACTGACTATATGGGGTCCTGTATTTCTGAATCATATACATTGTTGTAAGCTAATGTCAACCTAGTAAAAAATCTTTACACACACATACAAATTCAACCTGAGCAGACCAATTGTAAACAAAGATATTAAAAGAGCAGTCAGTTTCCAAAATAGACAAATAAAGCCCAGGCCCAAGGGGTTTCACAGTGAGTTCTACCAAATCTTCAAAAAGGAATAGTACTATTTTTCTGAAGCTTCCAAAAAGTTAAGGAAGTGGGAATGCTCCCAAAGATATTAATGACTCTATTAATTACTTGGATGCCAAAAGCAAAAACAGCCATCACACACACAAAAAGAAAGCTTTTAGGCATTCCCTGAAAAATACAGATGCAGAAAAAACAAAATCTTAGCATTCAACAATGCAGAAAAAGGGCCAACCATCATGATTAGAATTTCTCAATGGGATGCAAAGATAGTTCAATGTGGAAATCAATTAATGTAATTCAAGAAAGAGGAATGTACAAATCTCATGATCCTATCAGTAGATGGAAAGAAGACATGCAAAAATTCAGCATCTGTTTATGATAAAAAAAAACCTTACTAAGCTGGAGCGATGATGAACATATCAACATACTAGAAGTCAAACATGACAAATCCACATCTCACATCATACTTAATGCTGAAAACCTGCATGCTTTTCTTCCAAGACCAGTTACAGAACAAGAAGGTCTACTCTTACTGCTACTATTCAACATGTATTGAAAGTATTAATTAGATTAATGAGACAAGAGAAAGATATAAAAGAAATCCAAATTGGAAAGAAGTAACTTCACCATGTGTAGATGACATAGTAACACACAGAAAAGCCTAAAGGAAATCTGTAAAGTGGCAAGCTACAAAATCAATATATAAAAGTCTGTTACTTCCTTATGTGTAAGACACAACTAGAAAGACAAATCCTATTTACAGTAGAATAAAAAAAAATAGTAAATACCTAGGAATAAACCCAAAAAAGGTGTTGAAAACTATAAGACACTGTTAAAAGAATGTATGTAAAGTAATATAAGCTCATTGGGACTAGAACTTGCTTTGGAGGGAGTTCTTATGGGCACCTCATCCATGGTTACTATTTAATAAGGTTTTCTATTTCTGCCTGTACCCATTTTTAACAATCTTTTACTGAGCATTCACTTTTTTTCACAAGTAGGTAAAGCCTGAGCTTACTTCAAAATGTATATACCTAATGTATTCCGTTCTTTTTAAACATTTTTAAAAGACTTATTTATTTATGCATATAGAACTGGGAT